ACGGTAACCTTTACATCCCACCTCAGCATCATCATCCTAGTCATCCTCCCATAGGCCGAGATCATCCTCCTGATTCTCGCAGAGGACCTGGATGGCACTCATCGGCCCAAGGACGGCAGACAGCCACGCCCCCTAGTGGTCAGCATCAGTTCCGTAATGCTCGTCACGTGCCAAACCCCCGCAATGACAGTCGCCCCATGTAGGGAGACGCGACAAGAGGTCAACCCCGTGACATTGATAAAGACACTATCAAGTTTACTTTCCTTAATGTTTGCGGTATTAAGTCTAAGATACTTTTGCCTGAGTTTGAAGACTTAATCCTAGCACATGACATACTTATTTTTGCAGAGAGCAAGATTGATAATCTGGATCATTTACAACTACCGCCTGACTATGAATATTTTGCTAAATGTAGAACTAATGCATATAAAAAATCTGGTGGTATAGTAATTATTTTTAAGAAAACTCTCAAGTCGATGTTGACTTTTCCTAAAACTTTATCAGAATATGTATTGTGGGTAAATTTTTCAAAACACGTTGTGAACTCTGATCTAGATTTTCTACTGGGATGTGTTTATATACCTCCCGAAAATACTAAGTATGCATCCCCGGAAGCGTTCAATGAAATTGAAAGGGAGATGATAGAATTATCCCATCATGGTAACAAAGTCGCCATAGTCGGAGATTTTAATGCTAAAACCCAAGTTAGAGATGATTTTGTAGAACCAGATGATAACTTCATTCGTTCATTAAACTTAGATGAAAATGATGAGCTATACTCATATCTCTATGATATTGAAAAGTTGAAATTATATAATGTTCCTCTGCGAAGGGCTAGTCAATGTAAAGCTAAAGTTAATAATTATGGCAATAAATTGCTTGACTTCTGCAAGCAAAATAATATGTATATTGCCAATGGTCGGATTGGAAATGATGCACAAATAGGTAAAACTACATGTAGTGATGTCAGCGTTATAGATTATCTATTGCTGTCGTCAGATATGTTTCGGTATACAACAGATTTTGAAATCAAAGTTTTTGACCCACTCATATCAGATGTCCACTGTAGACTTGTATTTAGCCTTTGTAAATTAACTGATGAATGTATATATAATACCGAATGTCATGAAAATCGATATACAAAGTGGAAATCCTGTAAAGAACAAGATTTTGTAAAACATATACTAGATGATGAAAGAGGTAATCTCCATAGAATTAATGATAAATTAAATGAATTATTAAATAAACAACACGACAATGTAACCAATAACGAAATTAATGACATTGTAAACTCAATTAGTGAATTGTTCAAAGGCTCTGCTAAGCAGGTTTTTGGTAGTAACAATGCTTACAGGAAACGGAGGTTGAGATGTGATAATAAACCTTGGTTTAATAGGGAATGCCACTTAAACAGAGTTGAATTTAATAAAGCCAAGGCCTTATTTCACAAAGTAAATAATCCTATAAATAAAACTAATCTCAATAGAGCTAGTAAAGTTTATAGAAAAACATTGAATAAAAATTACAGAAATTATCAGGAGAAATTGTCAAGCGAGTTAAGAAATACTGCTAGAATGGATTCAAAAAAATTCTGGAATATTTTGAATAAATGTGACGGATCTGTAAAGAAAGGTAATGCTGATATATGTATTACTGAATTATATGAATACTTTAAGGATCTGAACAAGTCTGTTTATGATGATGACGATTTTGAGCTGGAAAATCCTGATAATAGTATTTTTGATGATTATCTGAATGGTGAAATTACCACTGATGAAATTAAATTTTCTTTAATCAATTTGAAGAATAGTAAAGCCTCTGGTATAGATCAAATCCTAAATGAATATCTAAAAAGTACAATGGATGTATTTTTACCAATTTATCAAAAAATATTTAACCTTATTCTGAATACTGCGTCTATACCAGATGTGTGGAAGATCGGTATTATAAAACCAGTATATAAAAACAAAGGCGATCCAAAAGATCCGGATAATTATAGAGCGATCACTTTAGTCTCGTGCCTTGGCAAAGTTTTCACTTCGGTTATTAATAATCGTTTAAATAAAATTTCTGACGAATTTGACCTGATAAGCAGTGCACAAGCTGGGTTTAGAAAGGGTCATTCTACAACCGATAACATGTTTGTATTGTATTCTTTAATCTCAATATATTTTTCATTAGGAAAAAAACTTTATTGTACGTTCATCGATTTTAGTAAGGCGTTCGATTCTGTATGGAGAGTTGGTCTGTGGAAAAAGCTCCAAAAAAGCAACATTACTGGAAAAATTTTCAATATTATTTATAAGCTATATGATAAAACCAAATCATGTGTTAAAAATGGATGTGAACAGTCGGATTTGTTCAATTGTGAGATCGGTTTAAAACAGGGCGAAAATTTATCGCCATTTTTGTTTGCAATTTATTTAAATGATTTAGAAACTTATCTTGTTGAAAAAAATGTAAATTGTCTTCAAACAATAGACAAATTATGTATTGATAACATTGGAGTGTATCTCAAACTATTCATTATCTTATATGCCGATGATACTGTCCTGTTTTCAGAAACACCAGATGGTTTACAGTTAGCTTTAAATGAATTTGAACAATACTGTAATACTTGGAAGTTAACTATCAATTCAGGAAAAACTAAAATTGTCATCTTTTCAAAAAGAAAATGTGCAAGAACTCCCCATTTTACATTATGTAACGTAGAATTAGAAATACTGGAAGGGTATACCTATCTAGGATTATTCTTTAATTTTAGTTGTAGCTTCTTTAAAGCAAGGAAAAAAATTGTTGAACAAGCACAGAAATCAGTGTTTGCTGTCTATAAGAAATTGAGAAACATATCTTTACCAGTTGATCTACAATTGAAGATATTTGATTCATTAATTATGCCAGTTCTTCTCTATTCATCAGAAATATGGGGTTTTGAAAACACAAATATTATAGAAAAAATCCATCTTCAATTTTGTAAATATATACTAAATGTAAGAAAAAGTACACCAAATTTCATTGTTTATGGTGAGCTTGGAAGATACCCACTAGACATCGAAATTAAATGTAGAATAATAGTATTCTGGCATAAGTTGATTACCTCTAGTAAGTTATCAAGTACTATTTATAAGCTTATGTATACATTACATGAAAATGGAACTATGTTATTTAAATGGCTCGCATATGTTAAAGATATTTTTTCTCAAACTGGCCTGAACTATGTGTGGTACTATCAATCTACATGTTCTTTTTCAAAAGACGAAATTAAGAGGCTTGTGAAAAGTAGACTGAAGGATCAATTTATACAGAAATGGTTTGATAATATTCTTAACTCCTCTAGAGGACAAACATATTCAATATTAAAGACAAAGTTTGAACAAGAAAAATATTTAATTAAACTTAATACAAATGATAGGAAAATAATGTGTAAATTCCGTTCTTGCAATATGCATTTACCCATAGAAAAAGGAAGATGGTTAGGTATTCCTCGTCAAGAAAGAACCTGTACATTATGTAATTTGTACATTGGAGATGAATTTCATTACTTATTTATATGTGAAAGTGTTTTAGTTAAATGTCTAAGAGAGAAATATATACCAAAATATTATTTCACTTATCCAAGTCAATTAAAAATGCAAGGATTGTTTAATATATTTAATGTAAAAATTTACACAAAACTTTGTAAATTCATAGAAAAGCTTGAAAAAATATTAACTTAATTTCTGTACTATTTGTGTACTTCTATATGTATCTATGCTATGTACAATGTTGTAATTGTGTACATCACACGCCATGTATCATACTTACTATATGTATGTGACCTCTTGTTACACACGTAAGTGTGTCGGAGTGAATAAATAAAACTTTAACTTAAACTTAGAGACCAGTACTTGAATGATCTCGCTTTATCGGCACGTTAAATGTGCAAATGATCGGGAGATGATCTGACGATATGTCTGTTCCTGAGGTAGTGAATATTTCACAATAATTAGCAGAGTTGTAGGCAAAAGTTTTGTCGGTAAATATATAGTCCAGCATCGTCTGACAGGGAATAAACGTGTATCTGTAGCCTCGACAGCTACTAAGACAGTTTAATTGAACTAAATTAAGGTCCGTGATTACCTTCTTAAGTGCTGCAGATTTGTGTTTTGTCACGGGGTATTGAGGGTTTTCATTTATCCTTGCATTAAAGTCGCCACAAAGAATCACTTTTCCAGACAGCGAATAATAAACATATGCGTCACGCAGTTGTTGAAGTAATAGATCGTAATCCTGTAAATTACTGTCACTTGGCATATACACGCCTAATATTGTGATCATTTCAGTATTATTAGTAATATTACACACATATTTGGAGAGTAATCTCTCATGACAAGCATACAGAACACAGAGAGTATCATATACATGTCTGTATAAGATACACAAACAACATACTGACAGAGACGGGAGGTAACTCCGCGGCAATGTTATCTTGATTGCGTTTACATAAATGCTGATTCAATCTACCAATTATTACTAAGTATAATGCATATCTATTTTACACCATTAGCAACAATACTTATAGTATACAGCGGACAGACATACACACACACACACACACACACGCACACACACAGAAGTATACGTAATAATTACTTTTCAGTGAAGGCATGCTTTTCTTTGCATTCGAAATGATACATGAAATACATATGAAAGGCGTTTAATGATAACATTCGCTTTTAGCCAAAGTATGTTTTTCTTTACTTAACGGCAGAATGCTAAGGTATACATGGTTACAAAACATACCTATTGCATACGTATTTGGAGAGTGATCTCGCATGGCAAGCATACCGAACACAGAAAGTAACAGAAACATGTATGTATAAAATACATCATAAACATAATAGTACACGAAAAATTAACTTAAGTTATATTTAACTTGACAGACACATACTGACAGAGATGCGCCAATGTTACCTTGGATGGGATTACATTAGTATCATGTATATTTTGCAGAACGTTTAGTTCTAATGTAGAGTTTAGTTTGTCGATGCCAAATTAAATATTTCACTGGACTATATGGTCATTAGTGGTACTGAAAAGGAAAAGGAAAAGAATCTAAACTTAGAACTTTCGAGACAGGAACAGTGATTGGAAAGACGCACAATTAAGTACGTACATGTACCATAAGAAAGGAAATACAACTCGTGCTGGTTGTAATGAACTTCCCCTACGATGAGGTTATAAGAGATACATCTTAGTCCGAGGGCTGGTTTTCTCAATTGTATATAGCCCGAGGCTTGTTTCAGCTGCTTAGAGTTTTAAACAAACGGCCTTGGCAATGAACTAATAAACAGTGTTCCTTATCGGTGAGTGTGTCAAAAGAGCTACCAATACTAGTACCGTTCAACACAGGAGACTGATGACTAAGTTTAGGGAGATGTGGATTAGCGACAATTACCGTAAACAGTTCATCATTGATTGAATAGTTCATAAAGAACAGAAGGTAGACCGTTGCAGATGATGTGGAAAATGTAAATTCAGGTGTTCCGCGGGGATCTGTTGTTGGTTTTATATTGTTTGTTGTTTGCTTTAGTACGGCTTTCCCAGATCGTTGCAAACGGATTTATTCTTATTCGCTGAAAACTAACATCTTTCACGTATTAAATCAAATACAACCAAAAGAGGCTCTCGAAAACGTTGAAAAATTGATGCGACAAATAATTTAAAAGACGGTTCTGATACCTCTTGCACATTTGATACTGAAGCTCAGAATAGAAGAAATATAAAGGGTTCCCCTTAGTTTCGTCTGTTACAGTAGATGAGGTAAAATCTTATTGATTGTAGTTGTACTGTTTCACCACACTTCTATGTTACCTTTTGTTGAAGTGATATTATTACCACATACCTAATGTAGCGTTCAAAGATACATTATTTTTACAATAGTTTGTTATCCTTATTATCCATGAAACGCAAAGTTAATTGATGAAGCCTGTGACCTATCAGAACAATCCCAGGTAAAAACAAATATTGACCAGATCGCCGCACCACGTCTCATTACGTACCGCCGGGGGGTGAAGGATTAACACTGTCATCCGCAGCAATCAGTGTTTATTGAGGAAAATTAAGTTAGATGGCCTGCGACGTGATTATAGATCGCCTCGCCTTGGACGAGCTGCTCTGATAAGGCGATACATGATCATGAAGGCGAGAAGATTAAGGAGAGCCACTACCGCACAGGTAAGAATTATCTCATAAAATACCTATCTCAGGTAAAGGTAGGTAGATAACGCCCTCTGTAGGGGCTGCTCATTAAACGACTCGCTGATCCGGCACAAATTTTACGAACTTTCGGTACCTATTGTTGCGTAGCTGACAGCATGTTGACTGTGTCTTATACCGGTTCACACTGTGTCGCGTTTGATCCTGTATATATGTTTTAGGTATGACAGGTATGTCACACGGCAAAGGTAGCGCTTAAAATATCCCGTGTTTTTACTTACGGGGCAGGAAGCGCCAATAACATTCAGTGTCGTTAACGTTACTCACACGCCTATTATGGCCGTGCATTACTTTCTCATTAATACAAAACCGAATTGAACAATCCGTTTTGGTATACACCCCTCTGGGATGTCTCGCAGCAATGGATGTTCAAAAAGTTTTCCCAATGAAAACAAAATTGCCATATGTTACATACATATTGACTAATCAAAATATGAAGGCGATACGCCTACATACATTCTAACTAAAAGTAAGATCAATGTACAACTTTCAATAAGCGCTATCAGCAAACAGTTACACAGTTTTCGTCTGTTTACTAATCACTACAGCAGCTGAATTGTGTGTCGTTGTCCAAGGATTCAATTTCTTCATGCGGCGATGTATTGACTTATCTACAAGACAGACTGTCTTTTTATCTATTTTTCTGTTTTAAATATAATAATTCCGAATATATCAGTATTTTTATGTACTTCAGTACTTTAGGATGTACAAAAATGTAAATTATTAGCAAGCAAGAATAGTTGATAATGTAGAAAATATCAATAACACGAAAGTTTTCGTTGTGTTTGAACTATATATCAGTGATGGTGTTGTGTTTTAAGGTATTGGTATAGTATTTGTCGGTATTACGTAAAATGCACTTCCGGTGATGAATTACGCCAGGTCGTTCGGAATCCATACGCATTTGTATTCATTTACAGAGTAACATTAAAACACATATTTCTGACGAAAACACTCGCTTACTTTTAGACAATCAATGCACTATTTTTAGCATTATCAGACTGGCACATTTTGTTCAGAAAAGCTTTACTAACAACACACTTTGTGAGTAAGCAATGTTGTGGTAAAAAAACATCAAATGTCATTTGGTTAAGTTAAATTTAAGTTTTGATATAAAACAGAAAAAGAAAACGTTTCTACTTGAAAAATGAAATAACTAAAAGGAACGCTTTATCTGTTTAATGATGAAGCAGAATCCCCGATGGCTGAGGAAATATCAACGTCTGATATCCACTTTGACTAAAAACTAAATGTACCGCTAACTCCGAGAACATGTCTGATATCGACTCTGACTAAGCACATGTATTTATTTAGAGATACATTTATTGAAATTGAATTGTTGTTTTATACTCATCATGATTTGAGGCAGGAATATTATGAGGTTATCTTTCACTGTTTATTGTGATATGATCATTTACTTTTGTCGTGAGCCTGTATCATATATTTACCTTCTTCGTTAACACACAAAGGTGATGTACTTTATGCTAGTACGTAATCTTTATGAACACAGTTGTCTGTACGTATTGTATTTAAACATTTAAGACACCAAGTCTAGTTTCCAGACCTGTTTCACCTCTGCTATTGACGTACTTACAAAGATAAGATCTGACCTTGCACGTGACATTGAGATAGTGTTTGATGTAACCGGAACTACTTCTTCGTGTCTTCAGCCGGAACTATGTATAACATGAGAGGGTAGGTAATGTTTTTACATTTAATTGTTAAATTGATATTAAATAAAAAAAGTAATTGTGTGATAATAAACATTGAGATATTATATCAGTTTGATTAAACGATGATAACAATTAAGAAAATTACCATGAATCATTGATGACAGATACAGATGAAATCGCCAACATTTTGCATGTGACACTCGTTAATTCTCTGGCCACCGGAAACAATCACACCATTACTGCTCCAGATTCTATATAATATCGTTCTGTGGTTCTTGCAGGGATTATCTCTGAGAAATGATGGATTAGACAATAACGCCAGACCAGAATGTGTACTGGACTAAACACCGGTTCTTTCAGAGACATCACAGAGTGCTGCAGTCGTTTTTGTTTAGTGTGGAATTCGACCCATACTTAAACATGAGTTTTGCAGGCATTGCCAATAGAACATGCGTTCCTGGAGATCCCGTACAACCGTCGGCACTTCTGCTTTCCATGCTGAAGTATGTGGACGCGCCACCTCTTCCTGTTAAACCAACATGGGAAATAACCCTCAAGATCCTTTTCTATGCCTTATCCTTCGTGGTGGACGTGGTAGGCAATGTCATAGTGGTAATCATAATATACCTGAACAAACGGATGAGGTCTACCACCAACATTCTCATCCTCAACCTAGCCATCTCCGACATTATGGTGGGTCTCTTCTGTATGTGGGTGCATCTCGGGAACCAGATCAGCGCTAACTGGCCATTTGGACCTTTTATCTGTAAAGCCAGCACCTTCACACAGGGTAAGTCACAACAACACCTACATATCAGTAACAATTAGAACTACATAAGTTAATTTAAAAGGTTTGGTTTGGTTTGGTTTAGTACTGTTTCACCTCCTATCAACAGCTATGGTCATTTGAGGACGGCCTCCCCCGTGTGCAAGATGCATGCGTGTAGTGTATGCGTGTGTGTTTTGGAAGGCTGCGATATGTTCGTGTTTGTCTCCTTGTGATAGCGCGGAACTGATGCCGACTTGATAGTGCTACCTCACTGAAACATACTCCCGTCGTCACCCAGTAGGACACCCCACCTGGTCACATTATACTGACAACGGGCGAACCAGTCGTCCCACTCCTAAATTGCTGAGCGTTAAGCAGGAGTAGAAACTACCATTTTTACAGACTCTGGTATGTCTGGGCCAGGGGACAGAACCCAAAGCCTTCCTCACAGGGGCGAACGCTCAACTAAAGGCTAAAAGTGAGGCATTGCCAAGGGAGACATTAAAAAGAATAAAGTTGTTTAGAAAGAAGAGAAAAGATAGCATTCTAAATTTACTCGCCTCTTACAATCATGCAATGAGGGCAGCAGGTACAATGCTTACGCCCTACCTGCAGGGACCATCTAGAGTAAAACATCTGTCTATCATGAAACATCCGATAGTTTAGACAAGGGAAAGAGGTTATGTTTGTAGCGTGTATTACAAGTAAGTTTTAATACTGTTTGAGCATTGTTCTGTTCAAAAGAGGTAACTAAGGAATCGGAAGTATTTTTTTTTCTTTGGTCCATACCTACCTTTCTGATGTGCATCAATTAGTAAATATTAAGGTTTTTTTTCGTATTTATTTTTTAATGCAGGAGTGTTTCAGGAATCCAATCAGGTCCATACTTCTTGTATTTAAATAATATTACTGATCTTATAACAAGTAAAACGTTTTGCTGACGACATCAGTACATTGTAGCTGATGATGATAATCTTATTTTTTGGCTATAACCCATATCAATTTGTTCAATTCCATGCTTATGATCTAGATAATATAAGTGAATGGGCAAAACAATGGGACATTAATATCATTCCTATTAAGACAACGATGTTATTTCAGGAATAAGACCATCTGTACAGCCATTTTATCTTCACAAAATATCATCTCATATACGTTTAGGAGTTACTTAAACATATATTATATACTGAATGTACATGGGGATTGTGGACCTAGCATACGCTAGAATAAATACGCAACGTTGCTTAAGTTATAATTAGAATAAAGCAAAGCTTATGAAAGTATACGACCCCTACTAGAACATGCTGTTGGATGTTGTTGGAAATATTTTGTCCAGCCCAATTAGTTAATTAAACTCTATCCAACAGCAAGAATTATAACTGAACAGAGATGAGTACATTACATAATATGTTAACTTTTATACTGAATGTATCACCAATTAATTTTAATGTGTAAAATAACACATAGGCTCTTTTAATATCATTGATGCCAATACGTATCTTCTGTATAGAAATCGATTATTTAATCCATCAGATCAAATAACTACTACACTGTACAATGTACTGTGTTTTCTTTCCAACAATGTTTCGAGTCTTTGCAACTTCAAAATGGATGTATCAATTAAAACTTTGACCATTATGTTGTTCATTCAAATGAAAATGCCCTGTGTACTGGTACATATAGTCCCAACCAGACTATCCCCTGTGTGCTGGTACATATAGTTCCCAATCAGACTATTTCACGTGTTGTCTCAAACGTCCTCCGTTTTCAGCACAAGAAGCAATACTCAAAAATTAACTTAAAATGATTCGAAGCCATATTCCTTTTCTCACTAACTTAATGTTTGTATAATGTGTAACGAGGATGTATTTTTTGATTTATCATTATTTTTTCATGAGGATGTAAATGCTTTGTTTCAGTTTTTGCCGTAACCTCGAGTGTACTTACACTGACCGTGATTTCAATAGAACGGTTCTTCGCCATAGTGTTCCCGTTGAAGGGTAAGATGTCACAGTGCGTCATGGGACTGTCCATAGCGGTTTCGTGGCTCGTCTCCGCTGCAATCGCAGCACCGCAACTCTTCGTGCGTAAAGTCATCAGATACGAATTCAAGAATAGAGACGAGGTTTTCTGTACCGAAATTTGGCCCAAATTTTATAAGAACGCGGCATGCATATCGCACGAACCAGGGAAGGTGATTTACTACACGATCGAGGGCATAGTTATGTATGTGATTCCCGTAATCATCATGATTGGCGCTTACACCGTCATTGCGCTCAAACTGATGCTGAGGAAGGCGCCTGGTAACAGTTTGCGCTCAACCTCATCTTCACAGGACAGGACGCGCAAAAAGGTCAGTTCCCAACTTCGCTCTGTAAGTGCATTTAGATGTAACATATTTAACATGTTACATAACCAACAAGTCTCCAAACTCTTGTCCTAGCTTAGCTTGTCTAAGGAGCTGTCCTCCTTTAATGATATGAATATTCTTAACTATATTTTGCATTTATGCGTCCTTTAGTCAGATAAGGATTTTTCTTTTGCAATTGATAAAAGCCGGTTAGACATACAGAAGTATTGATCTCATTTAGGATGAATCTATTTTAAAAGGTATAGTTGTGCCAGTCAAACAAGCGGAAAAGACACTAATGCATCTAAATTCATGTTAACAACACTTTGTTGTCTTGTGTATTGGCTCTCTCTGTACTTACATTTCACTACCTTTAACGTACATCCAGAGTCAGGTGAAATACACATTTAGCGTACTAGTGTGTCATTATTCAATTCTGTCGGCTAATCATGAAAGGCTATACAACGATTAGAGGTGCCTGTTAGCCGTGTTGTACATCACACAGAGGCTCCCTTTCCATGAATCACTCTGTCATCCATACTCACCTGTTATGTTGTGTCCAGGTAATCAAGATGTTGGTTGCCGTGTTGGTGGTGTTCGTGTTGTGCTGGACGCCGCAGCAGTACTTCCTTCTTTGGGAAGTGTTTAGGTCCCACACCACCAAGGTAACGTAAACGTCGTGTACTGGTAGTACGCTACATAGACATCAAAGATAACTTTATGGTAACGCCCCTCAAATAAAATTAACTAATTGGCACGCCTCCTTTTGGAATACAAGACATGTATAACTGTCAAATTTAAATACGAACGAAGATTGTGAGGAAATCTGTTTGATCTTCCGTTGTTAAATCCTTTGTTGAACAGGGCCAAGATAGAGAAATTAGATCAAATACTTTTACACAAAAAAAAAAGATTGAAGATCAAAATTTTTAATGCGTAATCAGAAATATCACGATTTTTTTTTTTTTCATTTACGAAAATAAAGATCGGTTTTGGCATGATTGACTTATACATATACCAAAGAACATTGATATATAAAAACGTGGTAAATTTAATCCATATGTTCCATGTTTGTTGCAGACTTCGAAGTATGTGCCGACCATCAAATATATAGCAGTGTACTTCGCCTACCTGAACAGTGCGATCAATCCTATTCTGTACGCAGGCTTCAACGAGAACTTCCGGCGGGGATTTACGGAGGCATTTAAATGTAGTTTGTGGCGAAAGAGGAACCAGGTGACCCCAGGTATGCTGATTGTGTCACTAATCCATTGTCAATATCTCCATCTGGCTTCATGTTTATTTTAGGTTACTGAGCCGGTGACTACCGACACTGCACAGCTGTAGCTAGGTCAATGCAGTGCAAGGTCAAATGCACGTATTGATATAATGTCAAAACAATGCATCTAATGATCGTTTTATTAGTATAATATTTGTTTTAAGTTATTTTGATTAAAGTGTTTGCTTCTGGTTGAAAACAGCTTTACAATTGCCAAAACATGGATCCAGCGGAAGAAGAATAAACAGCTACTTACCTGTTGAGTACCGTAATAATTCTGTGAACAGTAATCAATCTATATTTCATTGCATATATTTGTGTGTTTTTTTTTCTTTAGTTAAGTGACTGACCTAATGTTATGTTACTTGTATGTATTAATAGTTTTCATTGATTAACGACAGCTGGGAGGCTGAGCTGTAATGCCGAGTAGGTATTGTTATCTTTTACGCTAGTCACGATGCTTTCTGCTTGCATTTGGTGTAAATTATTGACACAGCAGCACACAGCTACACGTAATAGTCCTGGTAAAACTCGTACGAAATTGATAATAGCCTAATGATTATATATTTGTTATTAAACTTGATAAACAATTTTGTTTGTGTGAACAATTTTCAATATATATGTGCATCAAGTGTAGCGCATTGAGTTGCAGGGGCATTGTGTTACAGGGAAGTTGTGTCACAGGGACGTTGTGTTACAGGGACATTGTGTTACAGGGGCATTGTCAGGGGCATTGTGTTACAGGGAAGTTGTGTCACAGGGACGTTGTGTTACAGGGACATTGTGTTACAGGGACATTTTGTTACAGGGACGTTGTGTTAAGTGACATTGTGGTGTTATAACGCGGTCCGCATTTTCTCATCATTGTTCATATCCGCAGAAGTAAAATAATTAAATTAGATAAAACAACGCATGTCGATTTGTTATATTGGTTGTTCAATTTAACTACGATTTATTGAATGTGAAAATGTAGTTTAAATCCCACAGAGGATTCAGACATTCGACTTGTAAAATGCCGTGCTTTATCTTTGTTTGTTTGATTGGTTTTGAATATTTTTAGCCACATATACAAAATGTTATGTACATGACATATCCACTAAATATAAACATAAAACTCAATGACCTGCACAAATATGAATAAAAACCACAGAGTTATTCCCCTTTAAACGTTGGATAACCAGAAAAATGTAAATATATTTGACAATACGTAGATTGTTTTGTCAGCACCGTTTCCAATATTTCCAAGATTGTATTTGTACTCAGACACGTGTAAAATTGTGTGTAACAAGAGGTCATATGTAAGAAACATTTAAAAACAAAACTAATCTTACGAAATGGAGGCATAATAGTATGTTTTGGAATTCCTACTAAAAATAAGGAAACATTCCTTTCATGTTTGTTTTGGTTTGGGTTACAATGCATAGGCTGGAATATATCTCCCCTTAGTTGGACTACATTATCATTATTACAATTGCATATAAAATAGATCTCATTTCTTATCTTACTCATTGTCAAATTCTTTAAATATAAGTAACATTTTCTGCTATCATTATGGCGTTGTTAAAATTCTTGACTTTCCCTTTTTGAAATAAATATAAATTCTTTTACGTATGCTGAAATAACGTGTTTCATGTTCACTTTAAATAAAATGATAACGATGAATTTCTTAAATGATACTCGTATAGTAGACTCATGTATTCTTGTTGATAAAGGTGAACAGTTTCCACGGCGCCCTCAGCATTTTTTCTCTCTCTTTTTCCCCCCACAGGACCGGCCGGGCGCTCTGTTGTTACCGCGTTTGATGGGTCTAAAGCTGGAGACAGCAGTGCAGGGGTGACCCTCAACAGTCACGCCTAGTACGTCACGTGACGGCAGTGCCGGGATGACCCTCAACAGTCACGCCTAGTGACGTCACGTAATAGCAGTGCCGGGGTGACCGTCAACAGTCACGCCTAGTGACGTCACGTAATAGCAGTGCCGGGGTGACCGTCAACAGTCACGCCTAGTGACGCTATATATAACTTTCCACCTACACCCTAGTTGGACCAGTTGTGTCTTTGTTCTTTATCAGAACCCGTGATGGGACACGCCTCTAATCTTCGTGAATAACTGAAATAACTTAGTGAGATAAAATCAATGGATTGTCCAGGACTCTGACCTATCATTGTAGATACAAATGTATTTGTGAGAGTAATGTAACAGTTACAGACACTGACCTGTCAATGTGACACGCCTCGATTTCTGCGGTTACTTGTATCNTGCTAATATTTTATTGAATATGGCAATTTATCATATTCATTAGTTAAACACATACTCTGATTTCTTTTTATACTGATTCCCCCATCCGATGGGTGATCCGTATTTTTTTTAGAAAAAAAAAGGTCCAATTTTTTTTTCGACTCGCTCCGCTCGCCGAAAGATTTGCTTCTACGCCCCCTCTTTCAAATATCCTAGAAACGCCCCTGGTATCATACAACATTGTTTACTATCATGTTTTTAATGTCATATCAAAATTTTACTTTCTACACAAACAATGTACGTATTAAACATGTACATGTAGCAACGTTTCAAGACAAACTGGTCCCTTTGTTCAATATTCTTATTGAAGATATTATATCATAGTTATATTCAAGACATGAAAACATAGGCTTGGTTTAAATGATCTTAGGATTTTTTGTCTCATTTTGACGTTTTTTCTCTCTCTATTTTTTGTTTGTTCAATGCTACAATGTACTCGTATAACATGTACTTACTGTTACCTTTATAATGTCAGTACATCAGATCGTAATGTTTACCTACGTTAAATGTTAAGTACCGACCGATCGGGTCATTTTTTTAAACCATTATCATAAAATAAATATCATTGTCTGCTAGTTAAGGGAAGATAACTCCGACAAGCCTGAACGCTTAACGCATCGGCTAAACGAGCTTATAATGGATCGTATTGTAGGGTGATGATCGGGTGGTATCCTTACCAAAACCTTTATGGTGTAGGATATGTCCCCTACTGGCTAATCTCTTCACACAATAAGTCATATCAACATATTCTGACACTGCTCTTCACGATGTGGCATCATTGTAAGTTAGATTTAGGACATTCCGCTCCTGCACATTGTTGCATACACCATAAGCTCCACCTAAAAAGAAGCCGAGCCATTTATTTTTTGCCTTTTCGTGTTGCAATGTCAATGTCATTCAGTATTTCTGAACTTGCTTTCTTAAGTTACATCTCAAAGAATCAGTGTTTATTTTTCCTAACCGTCAGCGATCGGCCATGACGTCTGGTGTGTATGACGGCGTTTGGACCCTGGCGAAGCACGGGTTTAACTCCCAATATCTTATCAATTAGCTCTGTCTAGATAGAGAATTAATGTCCTAAAATTTAATCCACGTATGGTTGATGAGATAATGAAAAGATATTAAACTTTGTTCATAAGATTTGTTTTTGGTCAATAAACAAGTGTATCAAGAAGTGTTGTCGTTAGCATATATATTGGTAATAAGGACGATACTTAGACATTAGTTGATGTTAATACATGTATGTTCTAACAGCCAGTCGTGACTGCAATCAAGGAAATCACGCCATGCATCAGAAACCCCGAATCATATTCTTACTAAATATGCAATTATCGAAATTTGATCGCAAATGTAAACATCGGGGAAGGTTCGAATTAATTTTCGATTATACATTATTATTAGATTATCGATAAAAAGCATTAAAGGTTATTTATTAACATTCCAAGATATGTAGGTGGATGAAGACTTTATGCCAGCTACTGGTCGCCTCCATGATCTCATTGATGGATTATATTTCAACTAACTTCAGCACTGCAAGAACGTTAAAATGCTTTGAATTTAACCTAGATTTGCACATAAATATATGTAACAGGTGGCATGGCTAGGCAACAAGCAAAATGTCTTACTCTCCTTATACTTTATATACAAAGCTCTTCGTGTAAGCCTTCGGTTCTTACAGTAATTTATATTTGCCAAAGTTAATAGAATTTCTGTTCAAATTACAATAATTACGCTATCGTTTACACTTCGATATTCTCTTGCTTTCTTGCTCTTGCTTTTTTTATTATTAGTATAAACGACATCATATAGAAAACATCAATGCACATATGAAAAAAACGTACTTGAAAAAGAGGTACACAGTTATAAATAATATTTTAGTCAAGCAAATATTAGCTTTGGTGCACATTTTATGTTTTCAATTTTATCAACTGAAACGATAAAAAGAAATTGTTTATTTACTGTAAATACAGAATCACAATTTGTTACAACAACACTACGATACCTTAACTAGATCAGAAGTGGGTTTACTGCACTCTAGACACTCCAGGTCACGGCTACATACAAATGTATATCATAATACAAACCCATGAATCCCTAGCAGGATGGAAACGTATGGTACAGAACGTGTCTTGTAGAATGTTCAACAGTGTATATATTAACACAGTCAGAACACGTGTGCTCTCCTCTCCAAAACAGCATACACGTGGCTTTAATTCACGACAATTATGACTGACCAACTTATCTACAGTCGACGTCTGACAGCGTCTCCTGTTTGTACTATTATCTGTGTAGACATATTTGTAGGTGGGGTCAGTATGCCGTTCTACACTACTACATGTCTGTATTACTTGTATGACTGACACGGCAGCTCATTATTTCGATTTCTAGCTCCGCCCTTTATTTTAAAAAGGTGATACATACAGTATGTGACTGGTACAGTATGTGTTTTTTACAGTATGTGACTGGTGCAGTATATGATGTGTACATTATATGACGTTTACAGTGTGTGACGTGTACAGTATGTGACTGGTACAGTATGTGTTTTTTACAGTATGTGACTGGTGCAGTATATGACGTGTACAGTTTTTGACTGGAGCAGTATGTGACGTGTACAGTATAAGACGCGTACAGTATATGCCTTGTACAGTTTGTGACTGGTACAGTATATGACTTGTAGAGTATATGAATGGTACAGTATATGACTTGTACAGTCTATGACGTGTTCAGTATATGACGTGTACAGTATATGACTTGTACAGTCTGTGACTGGTACAGTATATGACTTGTAGAGTATATGAATGGTACAGTATATGACTTGTACAGTCTATGACGTGTTCAGTATATGACGTGTACAGTATATGACTTGTACAGTCTGTGACTGGTACAGTATATGACTTGTAGAGTATATGAATTGTGCAGTAGATGACGCGTACAGTATGTGACGTGTACAGTATTTGATTGGTGCAGTATATGACTGGTACAGTATATGACTGGTACAGTATGTGACTGGTACAATATCCGACTGGTACAATATTTGGTTTGTATAGTATGTGACTGGTGCAGTACGTGACGTGTATAGTATATGACGTGTACAGTATGTGACTGGTGCAGTATATGATGTGTACATTATATGACGTTTACAGTGTGTGACGTGTACAGTATGTGACTGGTACAGTATGTGACTTGTGCATTATGTGACTGATACAATATATGACTGATGCAGTATGTGACTGGTGCAGTATGTGATTGGTACAGTATATGACGTGTACAGTATATTACGTGTACAGTATGTGACGTGTACAGTATGTGACTGGTACAGTATGTGACTTGTGCATTATGTGACTGATACAATATATGACTGATGCAGTATGTGACTGGGGCAGTATGTGATTGGTACAGTATATGACGTGTACAGTATGTGACGGGTACAATATGGGACTGGCACAGTATGTTACTGGTACAATAAGTGACTGGTACTGTATGTGAATGGTACAGTATGTGACCGGTGCGGTATATGGCGTGTACAGTATATGGCGTGTACAGTATATGACGTGTACAGTATGTGACGTGTACAATATGTGATATGTACAGTATGTGACGGGTACAATATGTGATATGTACAG